AAAAAAAAAAAAAAAAACAATGTTCTTAGTAATAGGTTAGCATAATTTTTTTTTTTCAGAGAAAAATTCATTGAAAAAGAAAAAAAAAAAAAAAAAGAAAAATCAAGTAACTTTTTTTTTTTTTTTTTTTTTTAATAATGGAACTTTTAAATGATGAAGTAAAAAAAAAAATTTATAACGATGAATATGATGAAACAGAATTTGAAAAACTATTTGATGAAATTATTGAAAATTCAAAAAAGGATGACATAATAAAAGAATTAGATGTAATATTTATTTACTGCAAGAAAAATGTAGAAACATTTAAGAAGTTAATACTTAAATTTAGTTTTGATAATACACCTAATGATGTAAGAAAAAAAAAAAAATTTGTTTATAGATATTATTTTCGTAAGTTTGTTTCTCATTTTCTTTTTCTTTTTCTTTTTCTTTTCTTTTTTTTTTTTTTTTTAGGAAAAAAAACTAATAGTGGAAAAGGCTTTACTAATATATAAAAATTATGAAAATGAAATATGTAAGTTTTTGTTAGATAATTTAGAAAAAGATTATATGAATTTTAATTTAAAAATTGAAGATAAAGAATTTTTATGGGAAAATTATAATTATGAAGAAAATATACTTTTTATATTATTTTTACAAATAATTTATTATTATCCAATTAATATAATTTGTAATATCATAAAACATGATAAAAATTTTTTATTATACTTTCTATTATATATAGAAAATAATTTATCAAGAAGAAATATAGATATAAAAGAATTAGATACGTTAATTTTATTAACAAAAGAATATTTAAAAAATGATAAATTTGATGAAAGTAAAAAAAATACCTTAGAAGCATTAATAAATATATGGAATAAACATATTAATTTAAAAAATAAAAATTATAAATTTTTAGATGATAATAATGATGATGCATTTGATTATGATGATGAAGAAGAAGAAGATGCAAATAATAATTTTCGTGAAAATGTAGAAGATAAAATCAATGATTCTTGTAATAATGACTATTTATTAAACAAAGAAAATAATGATAAGATATTAATAAAAAATAGTGAAACAACAGAAGAAATTACAGAAAAAAAAAATGATTTCAATGAAAAAAAAGATAAGAATGACGATGATAAAAAAGATGACAACTCTGAAAATTATGATTCATGTTTAAATGAAAATGAAATAAATGAAAAAATAGAAAATATTTTAAACAATTTATCTTCTGATGAAGAAGAAGGAGAAGTAGTTGAAGATGAAATTCCATATGAACGTGTAAAAGAAAACAATGAAGAAAACAAAGAAATAATTTTATTAAATATATATTCAGAAATATCTGATAAAAATTTGAACTTGTTATTAAGTATCTTTGGAAAAATAAAAAATATTTGTATGGATGATAATGAACGTATTCATGTTTTATTTTTTAATATAAATAGTGCAAAAAAGGCAAAAAATTACTTAGATAATTTAAAAATAAAAAATAGAAGAATGCAAGTTATATATGGAGATTATCAAGAAAATAAAAAAGATAATGAGGATATATTAGGTAAAGAAGAAAATGAAAATAATAATATAAGTGAAGAAAATAAAAAAGATATTTCTAAAAATTTTTTTGAAAAATCAGGGAATAATATAAATTTAAAGAAAAATGTAAAATTATATAAAAATAAAAAATATTATATGAAAAATTCTCAATTATTTCATAATAATAATACTATTTTTAAAAATACACCAAAAAATAACTTACATGTTAATAACTTTTTTAGTTCATTTAATTCACAAAATTTGCCAAATGATTTTATATTATCATCAGAAGTTCCTTTAAATTCAGAAAAAATAATAAATAATCATGAGCATAGTGTGAATATAGAAAAACAAAACTTTAACTCTATTAATTTTATACATCCACCACCACCACCTCCTCCTATTAACCCATATAATTCTTTTAATGAAAATATAAGAAAAAATAATGTTGAATCATTTTATGTTTTAAATAATTTTTCAATAAATAATGAAAAGAATATTCATAAAATTTCTGCTCCACCAAAAAGAAATATTAACGATCAATTCTCTAATAACTTTATTTCACACAAATATAATAATTATGAAATATCAACTAATACAAATTATATTTCTTATTTAAATACCTCCTTTTCAAAAAATGTGTATTCAAAAAATATTCCTCCTCCTCCTCACACTAATAATATAGGAGATTCTAATAAAAATGCTTCAACTCCCAAATTAGAGAATTATACGAACATCTATCAACAAAAAGAAATGGATGAATTATCTTCTAGAAAAATGACTGATATAGTTTCTATAAATGATGCTAATCCTTTTAATATTCATAAAGATAATTTTATGATTAACAATCCTACTTGGATAAATAGAAAAGAAAATAAAGTATTAAAATGGTGCACGAATGCATCTATAGAAGAAAATCATTTAGATTTTTTAAATTCTTTTTTTCAATATAAGTTATTTAATAGATATTTATTAGTAACAAATATTCCAACTAATTTACAAGATTTAAAAAAATTTAAAGAGTATATTAATAATCTTTTTTCGAAAGAAAAAAAAAATTCTTTGTGTGTAGAGGTTTTTTTTTTTTCTTCTATTAAAAATGAAGAAGAGAAATTATTTCGAAATGAAAATTATAAAAAAGGGAACACAGAAGATAATAATAATAATAATAATAATGAAAACTGTGATGATGTTAATGATAACACTAGTAATAATTATCAAAATAATGATATAAATGTAAATAATGAAGAATCTATTTACGAAAATCATCCAAATAATGAAGGACAAAGTACTAAAGATGAACATATAAATGAAGAAAATATGAACAACGAAAAAAACAATACTATTGAAAATGAAGAAATTAATAAAAATGATGAACGGAAAATGATAGAGAAAGTAGAGGAAGAAGAAAAGGAAGGAGAAGACAAAGAAGAAATTAGAAAAGATAATGATGAATATAAGGATGACATAAGTAAAAATAAAGAAAAAGAAGATGAAAAAAAGGATAGTAAGGAAAATTATAATATAGAAAATAATTCTAAAGAAAATGAAAAATGTGATTATATGAACGATATAAGTAATAATGTAACTGAAAAAAATATAAAAAACGAAACAGAAAAAAAAAAAAAAAAAATATATGCTCACTTAACATTTAGAACAATAAAAAAGTGTGTAGAAGCAAAAAAAGCTTTAGAAGAAAAAAATTTTTTAGTAACTTTTTCAGCTCCTCTTAAACCGAATAATTGTTTATGGATAGGAAATATCCTAAAAAATTATTTTTTTAACACAGCAAGTGTATTAAAAACAATGTTTACACATTTTGGAGAAATTACAAATATTAAATATGTGAGTGATAAAAATTGCTTTTTTTTACAATATAAAAATGTTCATAATGCTATTAAAGCAAGAAATCATTTATATGGAGTTCAAATTTCAAACAATACTCTTCTAAATATAGATTTCTCTACATTAGGAGAATGGGAAAGTAAGCAAAAAGTTAATTTGTCACGAAGAAAGCTATTAGACATTTTATCAAATGATAATAATAAGGCACAAGAAAAATTAGAAAAAAAACTTAACAAAAGAAATACAGGATTTCTTGATTCAAAAATAATGTTATTATTAAAAAAAAATAGCCATAAAAAAAACTTTAATAATAAATATGATACAGATAACCCCCAAAAAATTAGTAGAGATAACTCTACTATTGTTATTGATAAAAAAAAAAATAGAACTAAAAAAAATAAATCACATCAAAATAATTCAGAATACATGAAAAATAATTACCACAACTATGATAAAAGGGATTCAAGAAAAACGTCCAAAAGAAAATGTGAACAAACAGATTATAGAGATCATAAGAAAAAGAAAGACCTTAATACAAATCCTAAAAATGATTATTCCAATGAAGATAATAATAATAGTAATAATAATATTGATAATGATAATGCAAAAGAAAAAACAATTGCTTTTTATGTTAACCAAAAATATAAATGTGATTTTAGTGCAAAATTTTATAAAGGGAATCCTAGCATTAAGATGTAATTTTTTTTAATAAATTTTTTTTTTTTTATTTATATTATTATGTAATTATTTTTTTGCTCAATTTTATAATGAAAATTAAATTTTTTTATTTATATTTTTTACAAATTTATTTTTTTTTTTTTTTTTTTTTTTAGATACCCCAAGCTAAATGTGGAAACCAAAAGTGATATTAAAAATTTAAAACAGATTAAAAGCTCCTGTTCTAATTATTCAATTTGGCAATTGGGAGCAAGTAATTTTTTTTTTTAAAAAAAATATATAAATAATTTTATTATAAAATATGTTTACATGTTTCATCATCTGTTATGTAATTTAATTCTATATACATATATTTATATTTATATTTATATTTTTCTTTTTTAAAGCTGCAAATCAGAAAAAAAAATTTGTTCGTATATGTGAGCATTTTAGTAAAAAAAAAAACATTCCTGTTATCATTGACAAACAATACACCACTTTTATTGTTCCAATTAAAGAAGACTATTTAAGGGACTTAGAAGTAATAAAAAAAAAAAAATTCTAACTTTTTTAAATATACAAATAAAAAAAATATATAAATTAATTCTAAAAATTTTTTTTTTCTTTTTTAGATTGAAAATACTGATTATATGTATGCTTTTGTTCTTGAGACTAAAAAATCATAATATTTATTTTTTTCTGTTTAATTATATATTTACATGTATTCATAAATATTATTTGTTTTTTTACATAATATTTAATTTTTTTAGAATATTTTTTTTTTTTTGATGTAAGTTTTAAATAAAATTACAAAAATTGTAAAAAATGAAAAAAAAAATTTATAAAAAGTGGCACCGTTCAGATACAAAAAAAAAAAAAAAAAAAAAAAAAAAAAAAAAAAAAAAAAAAAAAAATATGCAAGCATTTATTACAGCTTTTAAAAAATTACAACTAAAAAAAGACATTTGTTTTATTTTTTTTTTAATTTTTTTTAAAANTTTTTTTACATAATATTTAATTTTTTTAGAATATTTTTTTTTTTTTGATGTAAGTTTTAAATAAAATTACAAAAATTGTAAAAAATGAAAAAAAAAATTTATAAAAAGTGGCACCGTTCAGATACAAAAAAAAAAAAAAAAAAAAAAAAAAAAAATATGCAAGCATTTATTACAGCTTTTAAAAAATTACAACTAAAAAAAGACATTTGTTTTATTTTTTTTTTAATTTTTTTTAAAATATAGAATATGATAGAAAAGAAATAAAATATTATATATTCACAAGGAAAATTACAAAAAGAAAATAAAAAGTTTTTGTGTACAAAAATAATAAAAATATTTATATGCTTGTAATAAAAAAGGAAATCTTAATAAAAATAAATAAATAAAAAAAAATATATAAACATATATATAAATGAAAAATTATATAATTAATAATAAATGAAATAACATTTAAAATTTAAAAGAAACTTAAAAAATTTTTAAATTTTGATCGTCTCCAAATTTATTAATGCTGTTTTTTATTTCTATAGGGACAACAATTTTTTTATCTATTATTTCATTTATAAAATTTTCACATAATTTTAATTTTTTTAAATTTTCTTCCACATTATTCTGATAGCTATTAAAGTTATAATTTTCTAAGAAAAAAAAGAAGGAAAATAGAAAAATAAGAAAAGGAAAAGCATTTTTTTTAAAATGCAAATATATATAGAAAACAAAAAAAAAAAAGTTAATTTCTCTAAACATCTAAATATATATATATATATATAATAATAATAATAATAATAATAATAATAATAATAATAATAATAATAATAATAATAATAATAATAATAATAATAATAATAATTTACCATTAATGAAAATAGCATACATGACATCAACTATGTTAAGTGAATTAATTCTTTCTGAAATTTCTAAAGGCCTATAAAAAAATTAAAAAAATTAAAAAAAATATAAATAATTGATGATATTAATTATCATAAGATTTGATTTATATTTAGAAATACTTTGATTTAAGAGTAAATATGCACTCTTGCAACTTTTTCATGATATTATTATTTATAGATTTACAATCTTCATTATATTTATCCTCTTCATCAACACTTTCTATTTTTATATCCACGATACCATGAAGTAAAGAGGCAAATGTAAAAGATTCTTCTAAATTTATCTAAAAAAAAAAAAAAAAAATAAAATAATAATAAAATAAAATAGAAATATTATATAGTATTAAAAAAAAAAAAAAAAAAAAGTATTGAAATAACGATAATCATAAAGCAATAAAATCATTTAAATAATTCACAATTCAGAACATACATATAAGTAAAGCCAAAAGGAATGATTGCTAATTTGATTTGATAAAATAATAGTTTTAAATATAACTATATTTTGATAATAATCAAAATATGTATTAGATAAATATAAAAAGCATTTTAATAATTGTTTATATTGATACAAAATATGATTTAGAACAAAAAAAGAATATTCCACTTCTTCAATTAAATATTTCAATGCTTCTTTATTAGGTTTTGAAGTACTTACATCATTTTTATTATTAATATTATTATTATTATTATTATTATTATTATTGTTATTGTTATTATTATTATTATTATTATTAGCATTTTTTCCTTCTTTACTTGTATATTTTTGTAATTTTTTATTTATTACTTCTAATAATTTATATTTAACTATTTCTAATTGTAATTTCCATTCTACACCTAAATAATTATCATGACAATAATAGGAATAGCTTTCAATATTTTTAATTAATAAATTTGTAGTTTTCCTTTTTTTATTTTTATTATTTAAATTAACATTACTAATTTGAAATATATATTTATCCTTATCATAATTTTTATTCCATATATGATAATACATATTCTCATTATTTATATATTTATAATATGTTGATATTTTAATATCTTTAAAATTTTTAAAAGAATCAATTAGTAACTTATATGGTCTGAATAAACTCAAATATTTTTTATCTTCATTTTCACTATTTAATATATGCATTTTGTTGGCTATTAAATGTTTCATATTTTTAATTTTCAAAGGAGAAGAAATATTAAAATTATCCATTTCTTGTTTTGGTTTATGCATATTGGAGAATATGATATCTACTGTTATATTATATGGCCATTCGCAATTTAAATCCTCTTCTGATACTTGATTTTTAAGAAATGTTTTTCTTTTAATTCTTCTATGAAGAATTTTTGACTTATATTCTTTTTTATATAATTCATTTATATCATATATTTTTAAATTATCGTCATCATTTAAAGATAACATATTATTTTTTATTAAAATGGTTCTTTTCTCCTTATCACAAATTTCATCATTACTATATAAATTGCTTATTTCTTTTAAAAGATTCCCTTTTTTATTAAAATCATTTTTTTCTATTAACATATTGACTTCATTAGAATTGTAGTTTTCTTTTTTCTTATCTACATCTTCTATATTATTAATTATATTATTATTTTCACTTATATTATCTTCTTTTGAAAAAAATATATCCACGTTTTTATAATTATATAAGGTAGAAAAGTTGTAATAGTTGAAATTTAATAATTCAAAATTAATTCCATATTTATTAATATTTTTTATTAAAAACCCTTTTATTATCTCTATATTTTTTAATTCCTCAATTTTCTCTTTATAAATTTTTATTAAATTTATTTCTTGTTTTCTTACAGATCCATTATCATACATATTTTTTAAATTATTTAATTCTTTTGTTAATAACTCGATTTTTTTTTTTTTTTTATTTAATACAATATTTTGTTTTTCTAACAACATTTTTTTTTCATTAATTTTATTCTCAATTTTTAAATTATACTTTTTTAATGTTTCAATTGCTTTTTTTGTTTTACTATAATTTAATTGAGTTACTTCATATTTTAATATAGCATCATCTAATTTTATACTTACATTGTTTAAATTATTAATTTTATTGATAAATTTAAATATCATATTACGAATATTTTCATATAATTTAATTAAATTATTCATATTTTTGTTTTCATTATTTATTTGCTTTAAGGAATAAATTCTACATCTTCTTATAACTTTTAAAGTTATTGCTTTAATTGTTTGTTGTTTTTTTATTAAATTTTCATTTAATCTTTCTTTTAATTTCATATTTTCTTCATCTTTTTTATTTTTCATTTCTTTATTTTCATTTTCTTCATGTGATAATACGTTATTTAATTTATTATTCTGTATGTATATAGATGGATTTTCGACAATTATATTATAATTTTTATATTCTTCATTAGTTTGCTCGATTTTTTTTCTTTCTTTTTTATCATCTCTTTCTTCTTTATTATCCTGATTATTTTCTATTTCTATTTCTTCGTTTCCTTCTTTTTCCTTTTCTTCTATTTCTCCTTGTTCTTCATCTTCATCAATGTTATGCTCTTTATTTTCAAGGGCATTCTTACTTTTTCGTTTTTCTTTGTTTTCATATATATGACCTTCTCCTTCATCAATTTCTATATAATCACTTTTCTCATTTCTTGAGCATTCTATATAATTGTGATCTTTATTATTTGTAATTTCTTCATTTGAATTTATTCCCTCATTTTGTTCATATATGTAGACCTTTTCTTCAGGAACGTCATAATATAAATTAAAGTTATTTTCATCGTTTTGTTCTCTTAATCTATTTATTTCATCTTCATTTAATGTATAATCTCCGTAATTTTTGTTTTCATAGACAAATTCATTATGATTTTCTTCATTTACACTTCGATTCATTTTATCATAATATCCAACATCGTCATTTAATATTTGAGAATTTATATGTTGATCAAGATAGGTTTTTCTGCTTTTAAAATTAATTTGATAAAGTTCTTTATTGTCTTTTCTATTTAAATTTCTTTCATTCTTATTTTCATAATTTTCCTGTTCATAACATTCTTGTTTATAAATTTCTTTCTCGTAATTTTCTTGTTCATAATTCTCCTTCTTGTAATTTTCTTCTTCATAGTTCTCTTTCTCGTAATTTTCTTGTTCATAATTCTCTTTCTCATAGTTTTCTTGTTCATAATTATCTTTCTCATAGTTTTCTTGTTCATAATTATCTTTCTCATAGTTTTCTTGTTCATAATTCTCTTTTTCGTAATTCTCTTGTTCATAATTTTCTTTTTCGTAGTTTTCTTGTTCATAATTTTCTTTCTCGTAGTTTTCTTGTTCATAATTCTCTTTCTCGTAGTTTTCTTGTTCATAATTCTCTTTCTCATAATTTTCTTGTTCATAGTTTTCCTGTTCATAATTTTCCTGTTCATACTTTTCCTGTTCATAATTTTCCTGTTCATAATTTTCCTGTTCATAATTTTCCTGTTCATAGTTTTCTTGTTCATAATTTTCCTGCTCATAATTTTCCTGTTCATACTTTTCCTGTTCATATATATTTTCCTCATCTTTCACAATTTTATACTTATCATTATCTAAATTACTTGAAATCATTTCACCATCATAAACTTTCCTTTTCGTATTTTTATTTTCATTTTCTGATATTATGTAATAATCATCATCCTGTTTATTAAATATTTCTTTTTTATTTAAAATTTCATCATTATTTTGAATCAATTTATTAGATATCCTTTTTTCTCCATGATTATCTACAACGTATTCTTCACTGTTAATTATTTTATTTTGCTCATCTTCTAGTTGCACATTTTCTATTTCATTTTCATAGGAAATTTTATTTATTTCATAATTTATATCTTCATCCATATAATCAACTTTTTTTTCTTCATTTGCTTCATTTTTAGACGTAATATTATTTGATGTTTTTAAAGATATTTGAACACTTGATCTATTTCTAAAGTCAACCTTACATTTTTCTCTTGAGTTACTTTGGTAACATAATTCCTTTTTTTCATTTAATAATTTTTTATTTTTTGAATTTCCAATGGTAGAATCTGTGCCTTTAGAATTATTTTGTATGTTATTTCTCACAGTGACACTATAACTCGCTCTCCTATTTGCAATTTTACTTTTTATATCCTTTGGATTTAATTTTGTATTATTCTTATTATTATAATCAATAAAATTTATTGTTTTCCTATCTAATCGGCTTTTATTATAAGAGAAATTTTTTAAATTACTTACATTACCTTTATTATTTAAATTTTTATCTTTTGTAATACTTCCGTTATCATTATTATTATTATTACTTTTGTTATCATCTAAATTTCCCTCAATGCCAACATGACATTGTTCATTTCGAAATTCATTATACGAAACTTTTGTATTTTTATTAGATTTAAAGTTAGAATTTCTATATTTCAATTCCTCTTCAGAATCTGCATTCGATTTTCTACATGATATTTTTCTATCATCTAATAATATATCATTATTTCTAAGTTTATTAGAATTGTCTATTAAACTGTTTTTAATTTCCTCATTTTGATTTATTTCTTCATCATAATTTGTTTGTTTTTTCTCATTTTTATATAAATCTAAACAATTTTTCTTATTACTTTGTTCATTTTCATAATTATTCAATTCATTTATATCTACATGAGATAATGTAATATTTCTTGTTGAATTCAAACTTTTACGTTCATTATGATCTACATTACTACTAAAATTTTTGTTTTTATTAGTTGAAGTTCTTTTCTCTAAAAATGCATTTTCATAATTTGTCTTAAATGATAATTCTTTTTTAGAATGCTCATTATTTTCTACATTTTCAAAATTATCATTTACTAGTTTATTTGTTTCTTTATTGCTAACATAATCAAAATTACTTAGTTCATTAGGTTCATTATCTATACTATTTTTTATATAATCTTCATTAAGGTTGTCAATTTCAGTACTTAATAACTTATCCAAATCATTATCATGATTTAAGTTATAATCTTTTTCTTCTAACCCATTTTTAATTGGTGATAAACGAGCAGATTCAATATTATCAACAGATTTTTTTCTTTGAAATCTCACTGATTCTGATGATACCCTCTTGTCATTATTGTTAGATTTATATAAAAGTTTGTCAATAGGTGAATTTTCTATATTTTTTATAGAATCATTATGAGAAAAAGAATCTTTACTAGCATTAGAGATATTTGATTGACATTTTTTTTTTAACTCCGATTTATTGGAATCACTAGATATTCTAGTAAATTGCGTTAAATGCAAAGGAGAAATTTTTTCTTTTTCATCAAAAACAGCAACAGATCTATGTGAAAATTGAACTGATTTTTTTCTATTGCTCATATTTTCATTTACATTTTTAATTGGAGATAGAGAATTACTTTGCTTCAGTATACCTTTTTTTGGTGTTTCATTATTTATTTTTATTTTTCTTGTTGAATTTATTTTACTCTCCCACAAGGAAAAACTATTATTAGAATTTCTTTTACTATTATTTAAGGAATCATCATTTCCATAATTCTTATTTATACTAATCTTTTTATTTACGTTACTTCTTTTTAAAAATTCTGAATCACTTGCGTACATATCTAACATGAGTTCATTATTATTATTGTAATCATCATTTAACAAATATTTCTTTTTTAAATTATCTAATTCTTCATCCAATAAATCAATAGATCCCTTTCTTTTTTGTTGTTGTTCTTCTTCATTTATATTATTCAACTTTACATTTATTTCATAATTTTCATCGTTCAATTTACTTTTTCCTTTAGAAGGGGATGGAGTTATTAAATCACTATCATATGCATTATCTGTTTTTGATAAAGATATATTTAACTTATCATTATTATAATAGTCATAATTATGTAAAGAATTTCTTATATTCTCATCTGTAACACTTAAATTAAAAATAGAAGAATTTCTTAAATTACGAATTGACAATAAACTGTCTCTTTTTTTTCTTAATTTGTCATCTAATTCATCTAAATCTATATCATCTCTTAATAAATAATCATCATTTAATATACTAATTTTGGAATATCTTGATTCTGATTCTTTTTTTTCATTGTCTCCTTTTGGGATTAAAAAGTTTTTCTCTTCTATTTCATAATTTAATATCTTTTCATCAATATCATTTTTATAATCCACAGGTGAATTGTAATCATTCTCGTTAATAATATTTTTATAATAGGAATCATTGTTTAAAATGTTCTTGAAATCTTCACTTGATATTTCTTTATAGTTTTCTAAATTATTAAAACTTTCTAATTTTTTTTCTACCTCTTCCAGTTCATTTTCATAAAATTCACAATTTATGGCATCATATTCGTTATTTATATTTGAATTTGAGTTATAAGTATTGTTATTTGCTGAATTTTTATTATTAGACATTTTAAAAAAGAAAAAAAAAAAAAAAAAAAAAAAGCAAATAATTTATTTTTTAAATGTTATTCATATAAATTGCTTAAGCATACTCTTAATTAAATTAAGAAATATATCATGAGCTTCTATTAATGGAAAAAAAAAAAAAAAAAAAAAAAAAATCATAAAAAGAATATAATTATTTACATATTTTATACAATTATAATTTTTAAATAAAAAATACTTGAAATGTTTTTATTTTGTTAATTAATTTTTTTTTTTTTTTTAAATATGTTCACATAAATTTTTATCTTCTTATTTCTTTTTTAATGATATTATTGCATTATTATTTTTCATTAATTTCCACTCAAAATACTTAACTCTTAATTTTTTTATTAATTCAATTTTTTTCTTCAAAAACTAGTAATTTTGTTTCAACTATTTTATATAATTATTTTTTATTCATGTTTATAATACACTTTTTTTTTTAAAATTCAAGAAAATCATTTACTTGAAAAATATATCTTGAGTAAAAATTTTATTATTTTTATATTTATATTTAAAACAAAGTATAATAAAAAAAAAAAATTTATATCTTTATTTATTATTTTTTTTTTTCTTTATTACTTTTTAAAAAAAATATAAATAAAAAAAATTAAATTCTTATAAAATATGCAATACAAAAAAATATTTTTTATAGAATAAAATTGAAAGAAATTTTTTTTTTTTTTAAATTCATAATTTATATACATTTTCTTTTAAAAATAAAAAAGTTATAAAAATAAAAATATATGTTAACAATTTTTTCTTTATTTCACCTTCAGTTTCATAAAATTAATTTTTTTGGAAATATGTATATTGTATTTTAAATGTTTAAATTTTAATAAAAATAGCATACAGTATTATATTAAAAAAAAGCATTTCTGCATACATCAAGTAAATATTTTATGTTGAAAGATGAAATCTAATTCAAATTGCCTTTTTTTTTTTTTTTTTTTTATTTTTTACTTTATTAAAGACAAAATATAATAGAAAAATTAAAAAATAAAGTTTTGCATTAATTTTTTTTTTTTTTTTTTTTTGCTTTGAGTGCGTACATTTTTTTAGATTATTTTGTTTAAAAAAGAGAAAAGTTATTTGAATTTAAAATGGGAAATAAATGTGTGTACAATTATCACAAAAGGAAAGTGAATGAAAAATAAAAAAATCCATTCTAATTTAATTTAAAAATATTATTTTAAAAAAAAAAAAAAAAAAAAAAAAAAATGAAAAATATTGAATAAAAGATTATTTTGTTGTAACAATTTTTTTTAAAAAATATAAGTTTTCCAACAAAAAAGAAGCAAAAAAAAAAAATTAAAAAAAAAAGATACAGAAAATGTTTAAAAAAATAATAAAGATATTTTACAATTATAAGAATCTTTTTAAGTCTATGTATAATCAAAGGTGCATAAAAATTTATATTTTTTTTTAAATTAGACAAAAAAAAAAAAAAAAAAAAATACAATAATAAAGAAAAAATGTAATAAATAAATAATATAAAGTATTATAATACATTAAAAATCATAAAAATATATATGCATAATGACAAAAAAAAAAATATAAAAAGATAAATAAAAATGTCAAAATAAAAACATATATTTATTTTAATTTTATAAATATAAAATATGGTATAAACACAAAGTTAAAAAAAGGAAAGCAATGAATGAATGAATGAATGATGAAAAAAATACAACCCAACAACAATTATAATTTTAGAAAAATCTAAGAAAATAAAATTTTCACAAGTAATAACATTTTTTTTTTTTAACAGTTATAGTTTTACAAGTAATAAAATTTTTTAATTATAAAGCATATAATAAAAAATAAAATTTTTTAAATAAAGATATTCTTCTATTAAACCAGAATAGTCATTAATGTGAATAATAAAATATTCTCAAAAGATTATTAATATTTTGCAAAAATATGATAATAGAATTTTAATTTTTCTTTTGAGGAGGAATATGAACAATTAGACCATCATAAGCGGCAACAACTTTTTTATCATTAAAATCATAGTTATTACAATTGTTATTATCAGGATAATTAATATAATTTTTATCTTCATAAATATTAGTTTTTATTATATTTTCATTATTTTTTATTTTTTCTTCATTTTCTTTAATTTCTCTTTTTTCCTCATACTCTTTATTTTCTTTACCTTCTCCATATTTGCTATTTTCATTATTAGCCTGAAAAGATTCTAATGCTTCATTTTCAATTTTTCTCATAACTATAATATTTTTTAATTTATTATCACCAATGTATCTTTGAGAAAAGTGAGTTAAAATTAATTTTTTTGCATTTATTTTTTTGGCAAAATTTCCTGCCATATTAGCAGTGGAATGTCCTCTTTCGGAAATTATTTTATTATAACTTTCTATAAGGTTTCCATTACTTATTTTTTTTTTTAATAAATTTTTTTTTTCACTTTGTTTTTTTTCTTCATTTATAATAGGTGTATTGTTTTTTTCGCAGAGGTTACCAACTTCTTTGTTTTCATCTAATTTACTTATCTCATTTTCACATAAATTTTTTTTTTCATTATCTTTTGTGACATCCTCTTTTATAATATTTTGACTATTATTTGAAGTATATTCGTTTGTTTGTTCATGCAAAAGTTTATTTTTATTTGGAATATAATTTAAAATGTCTTTTTGTTGAACTTCATCTATCTGGGAACAATCAGTAATTTGTATATTATAATTATCTTCATATAAACAATCAGAAGTAATGTTATCAGTTAAGTCAATCATACTATTAGTTGATTCATGAATTAAAATATCAGCATCTTTTGCAAAGTTCTCTAAATTTGATGCATCACAAGTATCTTGACAAATTACTATTTTTCTTTCTTTGTATATTTCTTTGTATGCATTATTAAAAGTTAATTTTGTTTGATCTGGAAATATAATTACATCATTTAATTTCATTTTTCTTATCATATTTTCATATATTTTATAAGGAGTATATTCTAAATTTTTGCATTGTTTGAGTTGATCATAATTATTTTTAATTAGTTCATTTATATAAGAAGCATTAAATTTATTTTTAACATTCGTTTCTTCAATAATATAACCAATAGTTGGAATTGTGTGTTTAATAGAAAAACCATTTATTTCTAAAAAATCATTTTTTAATATAGGATATACATTTTTGTCATTTTTATAAATATATTCTAAATTATTTTTATTTTTTAAAGTATTACTATTCAACGAATCATAGTTTTTATTACTCAATTTTAATTCATATACGAAATATTTTGTAACTCCTTTTGAATATGTAGAATTCAAATTATTTTTTAAAAATCTGTATATTCCTTCTGGACCATATATGTTTATTTTATTAATACTTCTCAGCATTGTTAAAACAGATATTAATCCAAGACAATGATCTCCATGTAAATGTGTAATAAAAATATTCTTTATTTTACTAACTTTTATATTTGCTTTCTGCAATGATATAAAAGTATTTTCACCACAATCGAATAAAAAAGCTTCATTATATTTTCTTTTGGTTGTTTGAAAAATAAAAGATGAAGTACCCCTACTTGTTGAAGGATACATCGATCCTGTTCCTAAAAATATTAACTTCCAATCACTTTTTTTTTCGTTATTGTCTTCATATCTATTTCTTTTTACTTTTATATCATACGTTTTTGTATCAATATATAAATCTCTTATTTCAATTTTATACTTATTTATTAAATATTCTAGAATCTTTTTAAATAAAACTAATTTTTTTACGATAATCATCACTTCTTCATCAATTCTTTTTTTTATAGATTCTTCTGGTTTATCATTAATTATACATTCATACATTGATTCATTACTGCATTTTTTTACAACATGTTCAAAATTTTCTTTATTTATATTTTTATCCTTTATTTCTTTATTTATAATTACATTGTTTTCACATTTTTTACTATTTCCATCATTATTATCAATTTCATTTTTTTTATTTTCTTCATCATCATATTTTTCATCAATTTTCTGCTCTTTTTGATGATTTTCAAACTCATTCAACAAAAGCAAATGTATGTAATTATAGAATATTTTATCTATATAATCCTTAACTAAATAATTATCTTTTAAACTAATTACATTATTATAAATTACATTTTTTATTAATTTATCATACGTACTTACAGTTTCTGAATGTAACTCATATTCAAAATTTCCAACTAATTTATCAACTTCTGGACACTTATCAGTAATTTTTTTTTTTTTTTCAATATCATTTATATTGTATTCATATAATTCTCTTTTTTCATCTTCATATATTTCTATAATATTTCTATTTACGAATAATAGTTTATCAACACCATTTTTTATTTTGTTAACTAACTCTTCTTTATCTAATTCAGTTAATTCTTCTTTATCACTACTTATCGTATATTTTAAATTATTCTTTTTTATTTTAAAAAGATAAACTGATTTCTTTTTTGTAATTAAATTATGCTTTTTTTTTTTATTTAATATATACACAAAATTATTCTTATAATTTATCAAATAAAAAGAAGGTCTTCTAGTTGACAAATTATATATCAATGAAAATTTTAAAAAAAAAAATATTACAACAATATACGAAAAAAAAAAACATTTCTTCCTCTTATTATTAATAAATAGTATTATCATTCTTTAAACTAGATGTTAGTTGCTTACTATTTATATCTCTCAATTTTCTTTTTTTTTTTTTAATTTTTTATAATAGTTTCACATTTTTATACTATTAAAAATTTTTACTTTTTATTTTTATTTTTTAAAAATTATTAAATATTAATCCATTTTGCTTTTCTTCCTTTTTTTAAGTAGATATAAAAATTTTATAAATTTTTTTTTGCTTAAAATATATGTAATGCTTTTTTTTAAAATTTTGATAAAAAAAAATTGTTTTAGCAGATGTAATGATATATATGAAGAAAAAAAAAAAATTAAACCCTATTAATTATTTACTCAAAATTAATAAAAAATTTAATAAAATTAGCTATATAATGTATAAAAAAAAATAAAGATATAAAATGATAATAAAAACAAAAACTAAAAAATTTAAAAAAAAGCAGATATATGACATAAAATGTACAATGAAAATTTAAAACAAAATTATAAAATATAGAATTAAATAATATAAAAAGTAAATTTAAAATTTAAGAAGCATTAAAATATATATATTTAATGTTTTACGATATTAAAAAATCTTAAAGCAAAATAAGATAGATATCCTTAATAAATTAAAATATCCATTTTTATAAAAAATAAAAGCTTTTTTTTTAACTGTGTATGTTTTATATACCATTCATCTATTTTCAAAAATAGGTTTTAATATATCTAGACAACTAGAAAAAATAAAGTTTGTCAAGTTTTCGTCACTTTCATCAACATTTACACTTACATAGAATGGAATTTTAAATTTCTTTCCTATAATAAAATATATATATATATATATATATATATATATATGTAATTTGCTTTTCATTTTTTTATTTCATTTAAGTGTAACCTAATAATCTAGCTACATCATTTCCATATGAATTAGGTTCACCTACTAAACAAACTGTATTATCAGCATCTTCCTGAAAAAATATATATAAAATAAATGAAATATTTTAAAAATTACATATGTAACATTTTTTTTTTTTTCTTTATAAAAGAAACAAATTTTCATAATAATTAAAAAACTTAAGAAATATAAAGCATCTAATCGAATGTTATAGATACAAGTAAAATAAATAGATACGTAAAATAAAAAATGATAAATTATTTTAAAATTCATCCACTTATTCTTTTTTTTTTTTTTTTTTTCATATTTTTGTCCATAATTATATACAAATATTTGTAATTTGATATTTTTTTACATATTTTAAGGGATAAGAGGCTTGTAAATCATTTAACTCGTTATTTTCATCACTCACAGATATAAACATAGTTTCATTAAAATCAATAACACAAAAATAAAGATTCAAATAACTCATATAAATTTTATGATATCTATAAATTTCTACATTGACATTACATTCTTTCCCCTTTTGTATTGTACTTGAATAATTTTCTGAATATTCACAAGGTTCATTCATCTTGAATTGATTGATTTTTATAGTGTTTTCAAAAAGAAATTTTTTTAATTTATAATTAAAGTAAATTATTATATTATAACGAAGTATATAATATCTTTTTTTTATTTTATATATAATTCATTAATAATTTGATGTAATTTTTTTTTTTTTTCATTCTTATATTTAAAATCTGAAAAAATTTGAATTATTAATAGTTTAAGTTTAAACCAAAATTAAAAATAATTGAGAATTATTTCATCATACATAAATGAAATCTTTTAAATAACAGATACCTGTAATAGTATTAGAAATATAAATTTTTTATAGGAACATTTTTTCTTTTTTTTAAATTAGCTAAGAAACACACATATTTTTATTTTGTAAAAAAATTAATTAAAATAATACAAACTATATTTAAGAAAAGATAATATTACAACACATATTATTGTATTTTATTATCATATTAAAATGTTTTTCTCTACATAAGTTTATTTTATCTTATTTTATTCTTTTTTTTTTTTTTTTTTTTTTTTTTTTTTTGTACTTCATTTTATAATAAACATATATTAGAACAAAATAATAATTAGCTTTACAGAAATTACATTAAAATTAATACAAAATTTTATATAAATAAATTTATCATCCTTTATTTACAATGATAAATAGTGAATTAATTAAATGGAAAAAAATCCCTAAAAGGAAAAGAACTTTCGAAAATTCTTTCTTTGTAATGATTTAAGAAAAGAAGTTAAAATAAAAAAAAAGAGTAATATTTATGTTAAATATGTTTTTTAACTTGACTATAAAAAATTTAAAGTATTTATTTATGAGAAAATTTAAGAAATTGTAAGAAAGTTGAGGACTTGCTCAAAATAAAACTAAATAATATTTTTTAAAGAAATTAAAAAAAAAAAAAAAAAAGGAAAAAAGCATAAAATTATGTATTAAATAATAATTTAAAATTATATAGCTTTTTTTACTTTATATATTAAAAAAAAAAAATAAAATTAATATGAACAAAAAGAATACAAGTATTTTTTTTTTTAATGTGTCTAACTATTTACATACAGTTTTTTTTTTTTTTTTTTTGCTGTTCATAATTTTTTTTTTTTTTTAATAATATTATATCATTAAAATGAATAACAGAAAAGATGGAGTAATGGGATTGGCAAACTTAATTAGTGACAGTTACTTGGAATCTTTTAATACAGCTACATTTCAAAAAGCTGTAAAATTTAATCGATCAGATTATATATTAACAGCCTCAGGAAATAAAGTGTGCAAAAATTCCATTTTGTGTGGAATGAAAAATATTCATATGTTAGGAAAATCAATTATAAAGAGTGAAGCTATATTAAGAGGTGATTTAAGTAATTTATATTTTGGAAAATATGTTATAATTGGTTCGAAAACACTTATATGCCCTTGTTTCATAAACAAAAAAGAAAATATTGATAATAATTACAATATCTATAGTAATAAAACTGAAAGAATCAAATCAAACGATAGTTCATATGTAACAGTAACTATTGGTGATAATGTGTATATTGGAAATGATTGCATTGTTAAAGCAGCATTTATAGGAAATAATGTTTACATTGGAAACAATTGTGTGATTGGAGAAAGAGTTGTAATAAAAGATAACGTAATTATTAAAGATAATACTTTTATTCCTAATGATACCATTATATCTCCTTTTTCAAAATATGCTGGATGTCCTGCAAAATTTATAAAAGAGTTACCTGAATCTGCTGAAATATTTTTAAAAGACATTTCTTATTTTCATTATAAAAATTTCACACCTGATTCTAAAACATGAAAAATTAAATATTATTATCTTTTTTTCTGTTTCTTTTATATTTTGTTAATATATATATATACATATACTATAATACCTATTGCTTTTTTTGCTTTTTTCGTTGTTTTTTATTGTATTATACATAATATTATTGTTAAAATCATCATTTCCATTTATTATAATTATTTCTATTAATATTTATTATTCTTTTTTATTTTATTTTTTTTAATGTCTTTTTGAGAATTATTTAATTTTTAAATTTAACATGAAATTCATCATGTTTTTCTTTAGTGAATAATATTTTTATATAGAATATTTTTCTTATCTCTTTTACATCATTTGCTACAATTTTTACTTAGATTTTTGTTTTGAATAATTTTCTGATTTTCCCAAGGTAATTTTTTATACTTTTATTATTGTTTCATCAATGGAACAACAAAATAAATATTTATGCATATTTAACATATTTTCAAAAATATTCTTTTTAAAAGAAAGTAATAAAAATGGTAAATAATAATAAAATAAAAATAATTAGGAATAATTTTATTTATTCATTTATTTCTCAAACATATGTTATTTAACTTAATCCTCTTCTACATTAACTATACAATAAAATTACATATATAAATTACTTATTTCACGTAATTATGCATAATGTAATTGTAAATTAAGATAAATTATTTCATATTATGCTATGTAAATTTATATATATAAATACATATTTACATAAAAATAACAAAACTTGAAATACTTAAAATTTTATATATACAGAAATTTTTTTCATTATAGATGCTCATAAAAAAAAAAAAAAAAAAAAAAAAAAAAAATATTAAATATTAAATATTAAATATTTAATTTAAAATTTTTTAAATAAATTTAAAGAAAAGATTATTTATAAACTTTAAAAATTAAAATCATATAATAGTGATTTTATTTTTAGAAATTTATTCATATTCAGAAGAATTCATTATTTTATTTTTTAAAATTATTACTATTATTTCCCTCTTTTTCTATATTATATCATTTTTTTTAACTAATTTGCGAACACATTTAATAAAAACACATGCATGTTTCAGAATGAATAAATTTCACTTGAGATGTGAAGAATTACTCAGTTAAAAAAAGATATAACAATTACAATAATTAAAAAAATTTTAATAAAAATAAGAATTGAATAATATAATTAGAACCATTACTAAATTCCGCTAATGATAAAATTTGAGTATTCATAACATTTTAATAATTTTTATTCTATTAATTTTTTTTTTTTTCACCTTGTGTTTGTATGTTTTAATGAAGTTAAAATAGTTTATGCAATTTTTTTTTATTGCATAAGAAATGTAATTAAACAACGTGCTAAGTTTAATTTTATTTGTCCTTTAACTTTCTATTCTTTTCTTTTCTTTTCCTTTTTTTTTTATTTTTATTATTATTACTACTATTATATTTCTTTTATATGTTTAATTATTTAATTTTTTATTTTTAAGTGTTCTAATATTGTAAAATTTAATTAATTGAATAAATTTAAATAACTTTGTTATATTTATAATTGTGTACGAACAATTACAAATTTATTTTTTTTTTACTTGTGGGTAATTATTTCATTGAATATTTTCTTAAGTATATTTTTCTTTATTAATATTAACTCATAAACTTAATAAATTATATTTTTATATTTCATAAAATGTTATATATATTTCATTTATTATTAAACATTAATTGTTATATTTAACGAAGCTTATTTTTTTCATTTCTACTTGGAATTATAAATTTTGTTTATATTCAAAAAAAAAAAAAAAAAAAATGAGGGAAAGAATTCAACAAGATTCAAGTAATAATTATATATTATTAAGGATATTTTAAATTAAATAAAAACAAAAGTTTACATGAATTTTATATTATGTATAAAAATAAAAATATAATTATATAAAATATATATTTATATATTTTATTTATTCACATATATATACATATATATATATATATATATATATATATATATATATATATATATATATATATATATATATATATATATATATATATATATAAACTTATTTTAGATAGAGATAAAAAAAGTTCTTCAAAGAAAGTTAAGAGAAGTATAGATAAACATAAATCAAATGAAATGAAGAAAAAAAGTCATTATAGTAAAGGTGAAGATGAAAAATATTATGAGAAAAAGAAAAGTCATAGAACAAATTCAAAACATAAATATATAAAGTCATCAAATAATAAAAATCCTCTAGAAACAGATTCATCTAAATATGATGAACATTTTGAAGAAAAAGTGAATTTATTAAAAAATAAAGAAAATTATAATAATTCACAGAATTTATCAAATAAAAAGTCTGTATCATATGAAAAAAAAAAAAGTAAAAAAAGAAACATGAATTCAGATATCAATGAACAAAAATTTTCAGAATTAGAAAATGAAGAAAAAAAGAATGTTGATTTAAAAAGTGATTTGAAAATATTTGATGAAATTAAAAATGAAGATAAAAGAAAGAGTGAAAATAAATATGATATTAAAAATTATGATAGAAAAAATGAAAAGAAGAAGGAAAGTTATAAAAGGCATGAGAATAAAAAAAAAGAAGAAAAAATTACAGAATATAGTAAAAAAAAAAATGAAGATAGAAAAAATTATAGAAAATATGAAGACGAAAAGAGAAAACATGAAAATAAATATGATAATAAAAAGCATCATGAAAAAAAAGAAGAAGATTATAGATATGAAAAAAAAAAGTATGAAGACAAAAAATATGAATACAAAAAACATGAAGAAGAAAAACGTAAAAAAATAAAAATAGACGATAAGAAAACAGATTATAAAAAAAATGAGGAAAAAAAAAATGATGATAAAAAACATAGCAAAAAAAAAGGTAGTGACAAAAAAGATATATATAAAAAATATGAAGAAAAGAGAAAAGGAAAAATAAATTATGATAAAACATATGACGATTCATATACCAATGAAAAAAATGATTACGATAAAAAATCATCTAGCTACAAATACAGAAGTAAACATAGAAATATATCTATTAATAGTAAGCAAATTTACAGATATAATGATCATAATTATAATTCGTTATCATCAGATAATTATTCCAAACGTAGTATTAGTAAGAAAGTTCAAAATGAAAATAGAAGTAGAAGTATTAGTAACAATAAATTATTTAGTAAATATAATAGAAAAGTAGAAGATAAAAAATTAAACAATATACTTTGTGAAGAAAAATATGATAATAATGATAATACTAACAATATCTATAACTACAATAATAGCAATAGCATGTTTAAAAATCCCTATATGGATGATGACTTCAAATCAGATGGATACAAAAATTATAATATGGATATGAAGAAAAGATTTGAGAAAGAAGATTTTGAAAATGATTATGTAACAACGTATAATCAAAATTATACATGGTATGATTCCAATTATAAAGATAAAATGAAAAATAAAACATTACACAATTTTTTCCATGAAGATGATCAAAAAATAGGAAATAAAAAAAATATGAAGTTTAGAGATTATAAGATGAAAAATATGAAAAATAGAATAACGAATAGTATGTATCATAATAACTTATTAAAGTCATCTGCTAATGAAGACTTTGAAAAAAATAATTATATTAATAATAACAAAATAGACGATAATAATAGCAATAATATACCTATGAAAAATTATATGAATTCAAATTCATCCAATATTTTAGGAATACCAAATAATAATACCATGCCAATGATGAATTACAATAACATGACACACCCATCATTTAAAAATAATGTTATAAAAAATGTAAATAATATGATTTATAATAATGATATGATTTACAATAGAAATAACAATATGTATAATGAAAATCAGATTAATCTAATTAATAATTCTTCCATAAATAATAATAATATGAAAAATTCTTCATCATTAATTATGAATAACACTATTTCTAATATTCACGAAGAACATAGAGAATTTTTTAATGTAAATAAAAAGAAAATTATGCAACAAAATAACCAAACCGAATCTAACAATTTAATTATACCACCACCCCCATTTAGTGATAATAGATTTTATAATATGAATATGCCAATGAATAATAGAAAATCTTTAATATTATTGCCAAATGATAATCAAATGAAAATGAATAATATTAACAATCCAAACATGATAAATTATAATAACTCAAATATGATAAATATCAACCCCAATATGATAAATAATAACCCCAATATGATAAATAATAACCCCAATATGATAAATAATAACCCCAACATTATAAATAATAACCCAAATATAATGAGTAATAATTTAATGAATAATTTTAATCCAATGGATCCTTTAAAAAATAGACAATTAAAAGTTTCTAATATAAATAATGTAATGGGAGAGGTAGACTTAAAAGAAAAAAATGTAGAAAATAATATAACTAACGCAACCAACATAAATCAAATGAATATACCTCCTCCTCCTGACTTAGAAATAAAAAAAAATAAAAATAAAATAGTATCTAATGCATTATTCAATGACAAAAATATGCTTAATTTTTGTAACGATAATAATTCCTCTCCTGCTCAGAGTATTTCAAGATTTAATAATTCAATTAATAGAAATGCATTGTCATCTATTAACAGTGTAAATAATAATAACAATATTATGAATAACCAAAAAGCGAATAACATGAAATTACTTGAAAAAAATACATCTAATCCAAATTGTGTAATTTTGAATCCAAATAATATGGTTTTATCGCAAAATTTAAACGTTCACAATAATATGTTAAATATAAATAATAACAATAGAAAATTAAACATAAACAAAAATTTTAATCAAATAAGAAACATACAACCGATTAACACAGAAGACGGATTAGATAACAATGATGAAAATATATTAGGTGTAAATAATAATAAAAATATGACACCAAATTTATTAAATAACATGTATATGAATAATGAAAATTTAGATAATATTAATAATATGAATTACTTAGATGATAATAAAAATTTTAATAATCCATTAATTAATAATATTGCAACTAATAATAATAGTATAAATGATATGAAAAATATATCTTTTAATAAAAGTGGTAATTCTTCAAAGTTGTCAAATAATGTTCTTATCTCAAAAAGTGTTAGCAATAATATTCAAAGGATAGATTTAAATTCATCACTTTTAAAATCATCTAATTTTGATGATTCTAATGATATGCTAATAAATTATCAAGAAAATGACGTAAATACTTTTGCAAATGAAAACAGTTGGAATAATAATTTTCATTTTATTGATAATTTTAAAAGTAGTTGTTCTGAAGATAAAATCAATGATAAAAACGGGTGTGAAAATTCTTACGCTAACACTTTAGACATAACATTAAATGAAGATAAAAATATAATAAAAGAGGATAATGAAAAAGGTGATTTATTGTACATTAGTGAAAATTATGATGATCATACAAAAATAAAAGACTCTGAAAAAAATATTAGAAAAGAATTAACTAAAGAAGAAAAGTTACATGAATGGCTTGAAAAACAGCTTCTTAATCAAACTAATATTATATCAGATGCATTTCATTTAATTCCTTTATTTTCAAAAAATATAAAAAAATCAAGTTTTAAAAATATATTTGTAGATAACAATCCTGATGAAGAAACTATGATTGATTATACAACGAATTCAATAAGTTCTAAAGTGAATTCTCTTAAAGATAGCGAAAAAAATTATATTGATGATTTTTTTTTAAGTTTTAAACATAATACAAAAGATAACTTTTCTTTTAAAGAAAAAATTTCCTATAAAATGTTAGAAATAGAAGATTTAAATAATCCTGATGATAGTGATATCTTTATTACTGCAACCAATAATAATGTATTAAATGATTTAGATGAAAAAATAATAGAAGAAAAATATATAAGTCATTTAAGAGATTTCATTTTATCGTCTAATGAATTTTATAAGGAAAAGAATACTTTTTTGAATAAAGAAGATGAAAAAGAAAATAAAGAAGAATACAACAATTCAAAAAATAAAAATGACTCCTCTTTTTGTTCAGATATGGGTAATAAAATATCAGAAAAAAACAATAATTTCATAACGCATTTTGAATGTATGAATGAAAAGTTATTTGGGCATGTAGAAGATAAAACAAACAGTAACTCTGATATGATAAAAAATGATTTATATAACAATAATAATGATGATAATAATGATGATAATAATGATGAAAATAATGATGAAAATAGAAATAACTATTTTTTAAATCTCATGAAATCTAATATAAAAAATTCTTTTTCATTAAAAAGCAATATTTTTAAGAATAACAAATCAAAAGAACAAGATCAGGAACAAACTGTTATAACAAACGAAGATTCAAATAAATTAAATGAACAACTTTTACAATTAAAGGAAAATGCAGATACATTATTGAATAAAAAGAGTTTCAGTTATAAATATTATTTATTTTCCTTAATGCTACAAAAACATTTTAACACAAGAAATTTTGATCAAAAAAATATGTTAAATGATAAAATGAATATTTCTTCAATTAATTTATTTTTTTTAAATAACTATACTGTAACATCAGAAGATTCTATTAATATGTATTAAAATAAAATGTTCTTAAAAAAATTGAGTGAAATGTATATGCGCAATTGCAAAAACTAAAATATAAAGAAAAGAAAATATTTTTTATTTTTTTATTTTTTCATATCTATGTTTTCCATAAAATTTATTTAAAAAATATATGCGTAAAATTATGTTTCTTAAAATTAAATTTTAGTATATATATTATTTTAATTCTTATTATTACATATAATTTTTGTCAAATATAAAAAATATGATCAGTATATTAAAGTTTTTTATTTAAATAAAAGCATAACCCTAATTTATAAAATTTCTTTTTACTTTATTATTATTTTATTTTATTTTATTTTATTTTTTTTGTATCTGCTTATTATTATAAAATAAATTAAAAATGCACTCATTTTTGTTAAACATAAATTGTAAAATAGAACAAAATAGGTTTAAAAATAATATTATTAAAAAAAAAAAAAAAAATACTAAAAAATATACGGAAGTGATGATTCAATTATAAAAATTTATGAAAAAAATATACATGAAAATTTTTTAATAATATATTTTTAAAATTAAAAAAAAAAGTTATATATAAAAAAAATAAAAGAATATATATGTAGATGTAGATATATCAACAAATTTAAATAGTGTGGCATTCATCAGCCAAGTTTCTTTTCATAACTTCTTTTATTTTATCAGAAGCCCTAAAGTCTGCTATAATTTCTGTACATCTTTGAGCTTCATATATTATTTTTTCAGGTTTCTTTTCTACTAATTTTTCACATGCGCGTGCATCTGCCATACTTGAAGTGCTTGCCTGTGATTCAAAAATATAAACATCATTAACCTTATCAACTAACTTTTCACATGCTCTTGCATCTGCTGTACTCTTTTCACTTCTTTGAGATTCAAAAACTGTTTTTTCTGGTTTTTTTTCAACTAGTTTTTCACAAGCTCTTGCATCTGCTGTACTCTTTTCACTTCTTTGGGATTCAAAAACAGTTTTTTCTGGTTTTTTATCAACTAATTTTTCACAGGCTCTTGCATCTGCTGAGCTTTTTTCACATTTCTGTGCTTCAAAAATAGATTTCCTCTGTTCCTTTTCAACTAACTTTTCGCAAGCCCTTGCATCTGCTGAGCTTTTTTCACATTTCTGAGCTTCAAAAACAGTTTTTTCTGGTTTTTTTTCAATTAATTTTTCACAGGCTCTTGCATCTGCTGAGCTCTTTTCACATTTTTGTGCTTCAAAAACTGTTTTTTCTGATTTTTTTTCAACCAATTTTTCACAGGCTCTTGCATCTGCTGAGCTTTTTTCACATTTTTGTGCTTCAAAAATAGATTTCCTTTGTTCTTTTTCAACCAATTTTTCACATGCTCTTGCATCTGCTGTACTCTTTTCACTTCTTTGAGATTCAAAAACTGTTTTTTCTGTTTTTTTTTCAACTAGTTTTTCACAAGCTCTTGCATCTGCTGTACTCTTTTCACTTCTTTGGGATTCAAAAACAGTTTTTTCTGGTTTTTTTTCAATTAACTTTTCACAGGCTCTTGCATCTGCTGTACTTTTTTCACATTTTTGTGCTTCAAAAACTGTCTTTTCTGGTTTTTTTTCAATTAACTTTTCACAGGCTCTTGCATCTGCTGAGCTTTTTTCATTTTTTTGAGATTCAAAAACTGTCTTTTCTGATTTTTTTTCAACCAATTTTTCACAGGCTCTTGCATCTGCTGAGCTCTTTTCACATTTTTGTGCTTCAAAAACTGTTTTTTCTGATTTTTTTTCAACCAATTTTTCACAGGCTCTTGCATCTGCTGAGCTTTTTTCACATTTTTGTGCTTCAAAAATAGATTTCCTCTGTTCCTTTTCAACTAACTTTTCACAAGCTCTTGCATCTGCTGTACTTTTTTCACATTTTTGAGATTCAAAAACTGTCTTTTCTGGTTTTTTTTCAATTAACTTTTCACAGGCTCTTGCATCTGCTGTACTTTTTTCACATCTTTGAGATTCAAACACAGTTTTTTCTTGCTTTTTTTCAATTAACCTTTCACCTGATTTAGCATCAGCGCAGCTTATTTTTACCGTTTCAGATTCATAAATAGTTTTATTTTGTACTTTAGGAGCTATATCTTCACCATATTTAAAATCGGCTTTTACTTTTTGAATTTTTTCACCTACGAAAACGGTAATTTTTTGACTATTTCTTTTTTCGTTTAAAAAATCATTTATATTATTAATTTTTTTTTTGTTTTGAAGTTTATCTTCAGTGTTATTTTTTTTATCATTTTCATTTTTCACAATTTCTTCTTTATATTCCTTATTCATTTTTTCTGTTAAGTCTTTGTTCTTTTTGTCATTTTTATTACTTAAACTTTTATCATTATAATATGTATTACTTGAAAGTTTATTATTTGATTGATCAGGAAAATTTGTAAAAACTGCATTTTTTTTACAAAAATCATTTTTATTTGGTTCCTTATTATTATCATTTCCATTAATATTATACTCTTTTGGGTTATTTTTATCACTATCTGTATCATTAACTACTCTTTCTGTTATATTTGAACATATCACTTGTTTTTTTTCAATAGAAGTTCTATCCTCCAAATCTGCACTATTCAAGATGCTAGATTTTCTAGAAAAATTTGTTCTATCATATGTATCTACTTGACTCACTATGCTGTTTTTACTATCTAATTTATTAAATGAATTTTTACTTGATTCACCTTTTTCTTTTTTAAAGTTATTTGTATCTAAAACAATACTACCCTTTTTATTTAGAATATCATCAGAATAGTTTTCTATATCATTAAATGTTTGTGTAGAAGAGGTTTCTATTCTTCTTATATCCGGAAGATCACTATTTTTTTTATCAAATGATTCCTTTGTAATTTTATTTCTATCTGAAAAGTATTTATCAAATACTTCAAAATTTTCATCACTAGAATTATCCATTCTTTTAATATTATTTTTGTCATTATTAATAATATCATTACATTTAAAGCTGTTTAATTCATTTTTCTCTTGAATATTTATGTCTTTTCTAGGTATACCTGTTTTCTCTTCATTTACTATGTTTGAATAGTTCAATTCATTCATTTGATCCTTCATTATATTTATCAAAGAGTGTTTTAATTTGCTTATTTTTTAGTTATTATTTTTATTAACTTCTAATTTCACACTACTATTATTTAATAATATTAAAAATATTTTTTTTTCTTTTTAATAGAATTTTCTGATACTAACATTTTTATAAATTTAAATTTATTGAAGGCATGCATTTACATGTATATATATGTATATATAATACAAAAAAAAAAAAAAAAAAAAAAAAAAAAAAAAAAAAAAAAAAAAAAAAAATAAATAAATAAAAAGTAATAAAGGTTAAAAAAGTAAAAATAAAAAAATAAATTTAAAAAATGATATACATAATAAAAAACTTTCTTAAAAATTATATGTAGAAAAATTGTATGCTTAACATAAAAAAAAAAAAAAAAAAAATATGTAAATAAATAAAATAGAATAAAATAAAAATAACTAAAATAAATATAAATAAAAAAAATAGAATTTATAATACCAAAGTAATTGAGAATTATATAAAAATTAATCTTAACAAATTTTTTTAAAATAAAAAATCAAGATTCATAAAAAAAAATAAACTAAATATAATAATATAATTGAATAATAAGTTAATGTAGAAAAATTAAAAACGACATTTATTATTAATTTTTTTTTTTTTTTTAAGTTGCACACAAAACAACATGTTGTAAATTCTCATAAATGTTAACTTTTAAAACAAATGAAATGACATATATATACATATTTTTTCAATTTTTCTTTTATAATTTTGAAATATTATATTTTATTTTTAAGAAGAAAAATTAAAATAATTGAAAAATGCATTGTACAATTTAAACTTATAAATAATTTTTTCTTGTAGGAAATAAAAAAAAAAAATTTAAACAACCTATTACGAACTTTTAATTTCAAGAAAAAACAATGAATTACGAAATTAGGAAAAATTAAAAATTAATTATCATATATAGATAATTAATAATATATATAATATGAAAAAATTTATAAGAATAATATGTACTAATAAGATAAAAAAAATTAAAAATAAGAAACTTTTCAACATTTGTTAAAAAGTATATATTTAAAATATTTGTTCACTGTTTATAATATATACTTTTCTTAAGGAAATCACTTTTAATATATATAAATAAAAAAAAAAAAAAAATTGTTTCTTATATATTATGATATATTTTTTTATTAAGTGAACATTTATAGAATCGTTTTTATTAAAAAAAAAAAAAAAAAAGGAAAAAAGACATTACTCAAAATAATACTTTATGATTCTACGTTTACGCATGTAAATTTTTACCAGAAAAACATTATTAACAAAAAAAAAAAAAAAAAAAAATGAAATGATTATTTCGTAAATTTACTGTTAAGAAAATTAAGGCTACATCGTTTCTGACCAATAATTCTTTTGTCTTAATATTTATTTATATGCTAAAATAAGTTATGTTACTTTTTATATTGCAAGATAGATTAATTCAAATAAGAAACTTATAAAAATAATATTATATAAAAGAGAAACGTAAATAAAGTTTTACGTATTATTATCACAAAAGTAAAATAATTTTAATTTTAATTTTTTTCAATTTTTAAAATAAAAAAAATAAGTCATGTGTATTTTATTTTAAATAAGAGAAAAAACTATATTAAAAAAAATAAAAAGTTCATCATAACTGAATTAAAATTATACTTTTTTTAATAATCAAAAATGAGAAATTTTTCTCCTTTTATATTTTTTAAGAACTACTAATGAAAATTGAATTGTCTTAATATCCATTAAAAATATATAATTTAATCATATATTGTGAAATTAAAGAAAATAAAAAATCTTTATATTAAACAATATACTTTAATATATATTAATGAATAAAAATAAAAATAGTTACAAATTTTAAAGAACAATAATATATATATAGAATAATATTAATATTTTGTCTATTCATGAAACATATGAATTTAAGAACAATAATATATATATATAGAATAATATTAATTTTTTGTCTACTCATGAAACATACGAATTTACTTATTAAATCGTTATGAACTTAAATATAAGACATTTCAAACATGAAAAAAAAATATTCTTTTTCTTAAAAGATATAAAAAAGAAAAGAGATTAATTTGTAATTTTTATATATAATTTGAAATTTATTACCAAAATATGTTCTTAAAAAATAAATTTAAAAAAATTATAAAAAATTTCTCATTTACATAAGATTGTTAAGTCAATCAGTATATTTATATAAAAAGTAATTAATTTTTATATATAAAAAAAATTCATTAAAAAAGCGAAAAAATATATATGAAAAAGTAAGTATATTTATTTACATTATAAGATTAGAGGTAATAAAATCCTTTTACACACAGATTTTTTTTTCCTTATTTTAAATATGATAATATAATAATATATGTATATAATTTTTTTTTAATTCTTGGATTTAAAAAAATATAAAAATTTTTAAAAGAAAAAATATATAATAAATTAATATATTAAAGAAATATTAATTTATTCAAATTTTTAGTTTTTTTTTTTTTTTTTTTTATATATATATATATATAATTCTATGTATTATCCTTATATAATTTACAACATAAAGCAATCCTTTTCTCCCCTTTTTCAATTGTATCTTCTGATATATCAGATGCCCATATGTTTGATTTTTCTGTAAGAATTCCATTTATCCTTGCATAATGTATTCCTCCGTTATATAAATTAAATAAAGAACACAATTCATAATTTTTTTTACATAAATTATCACTTTTAGCAGTATCATAGTCACAGCTAAGACAACCAATATGTACAAAATTTGTATCATATATTCCTGTTATACTTGGTATGGAAAAGGATTTTATTTCTGATACATTTAAACTTCTGTTATAAAAATGTAATTCATCTAAATAACCATTAAAACTGGAATAATTGGAATTTTTTCCTATTGTTATATTTCCTCTCTTTTCTACAATTTTGCTTTTTAAGAATACTGAATTATCAAATACTCCATTTACGTATATTTCTACTTGTTTTTCATTTAATGTTATTGCAATATTAGTCCATCTTCTCAATGGAATATGTCCAATAGAAGATAAACCTTCGTTTGAATTATCTTTTCCCATTATTCTCACTGATATTTTTGTTGTGTGCGGATGTAATAATATGGCTATTTTCTCTTCCTTATTATCTCTACCGTCAAATTAGAAAAAATATATATATATAAAAAAATAAAATAAAATATATAAAAAAAAAAAAATTTTAATTTTTACATCTGTGAAATAATGTTGCGAAAATGGCTAGTTGACCTTTCCAGTAAATAAATCCAAAATACTCTAAATTTTTAACAATTATAAAATTGGCAAATATAATAATATTTTTTTTTATATTTATTAAAATAAATACAGCTATATTATTATGTATTAACAAAAAAGAGATTAAATTTTTTTATCATAATAATATTTTGTGTGTATATATTATTTATTAAATATATAAAATATTCATTAATAAAAATATAAATTTTTATTATATTTAATATATATATATATATATATATGTAATCCTCTAGATTAAACAAACATGGTAAATTGAGTTGTTTTTAATGTTTCACCAGAAGGAACAAATCCAGATATATCTACCAAAAAATTAAGAAAAAAAAAATATAAAATAGTATTTAAATATTCTCTATTTTTTATTTTTTTTTCATAAATAAATAAATTACCCCCTATAAATGCCCCACTATAACCGTGTCCATTAAAACTAGGACCATTTCTTATTAACTTATGCATATGATTTTTATTTGAACTATAATCCAATGCATATATATCATCAAATGTCCATTTTCCTATTAATCCATTATGTATGCTATGAGAAATTATTGGGGTAGTAGTTCCCCCTAAACATATATTATTAGGAATCTCAAGACATTTTTCAAACAAGTTTTCAAAAGGCTCACTAAAAGATATTTCACTTAAATAATTAAATAATGATTTTTCCAATTTGGCTAGTTTTATATTATATATAAAAAAAAATAAAATAAATATTACCATCCTTTTTTTTTTCATTTTTCAATAATTAAACTTACAAGTAAAATAACAATAAAAATATTATAGAAGAAATAAAAGCTAAAATATAAAAAAATATTATATAATGATATAATAGTACTTCTTATAATAATATTTATTTAATAAATATATTTTTTACTAGCTAAAATTGACATATATTTGGTAGACTATTTTTGATGACTATTATAAAGATTAATATTTGCTTTAATAAAAACATACAGAAAATGCAAATTATGGTATTTTTATATTAATATTATTAATTTAATAAGTAATATTCTTACAACCCTTATATCAATAGAGATTCTTCCCTTTTTACCTTTTTTATCTTTTCTATAAATGAGACATAATAAAATACTATCATAAAATAAAAATAAATTGTAATATATATATAATTAATGTGCTTAAGAGTGCGAATAAAAAAAAAAAAAAAAAGTAAATAAATAAAATAGATCTGTTCTCTACGTATTTTTATTATACATTAATTATTACTGAAATTAAATTTAATATTTTTTTTTTTTTTTTTTTTCCTTTATTTAAATGAGAATAATTCCTCTGTAAATATATATATTAATATCTATTTTTTCATAATCTTACTTAAAATTGGAAAAAAAAATAATAATGATGAAACAAAAATTTCAATGTAATTACATTAAAATGGATATGTATCAGAAATGTTTTAAAATATAAAGTACTTAAGATATTTATAAATTTAAAGTATTAATTACTAAAAAACCCTATTACAGGTATAAAAAAAAAATATAGCTAATCTTATTATTAAGTTTTAATTTATTATTTTGTTTATTTTTTATATTTACTACTCTTTTTATTGTAATTTTTTTCTTTTTTTTTATTTAATTTTTATCTAATATTTCTATGTATTTATGTCTATTCATCTTATTTTTGTTAAAATTTAGTTTTTGAAAATACCTAAACTTTTATGTTGTTATGCAAGAAAAAATATTTTTTAATTCATCATAAGTTATAAATGATAATTTCAAAAAATGCTAAATTTTCGTTATAAAATAAAATTTAACATATCAGTTTTTTTTTTCTTTTTATTATAAATAAAAGTATTAAAAATGAATTAAGACACTTATAAAAAAATAAAAAAAAATAGTACATAAAATATATTTATTTGTCTAATATATATATATATATATATAATTTTAATACTTTAAATTGTTTCTCAAAGGTGTATATAATCATTTTTTAATTTTAAATTATATTTTTATTCAATATTTACAGAATTTATGAATTCCTTTAATTTTTATATAAAATTAGTAAATATGTTATATATATATATATATGTAACTAAAAATAACAACATGAAAAAATTTTATTAAAAATGATTAGATCTAATATGCATTTATAATTTTTTTATATTAGTTTTAAATATATGCCAAATAAGTTATCTTAAAAATGATTTGATTCATTATTATTTTTTTAAAAAATATTGATATTATATATATGAGTTTTGTTTATTTTTTTTTTTTGTTCAATTATGTCTAATTGTATTTTCCTTTTTTTTTTTTTTTTTGTTTTATATTTGTTTACGTTAAAAAATGAATATACATGTTAATTCACATAGAAAATAAGTGGATGTAATGATATTGAAGATAAATAAAAAAAAGAATATATTATTTTAATACTGTTTTATTTTTAGTAGGTATAATTTTTATATACATACAATTATAAAATTTTAATCTACTGAAAGAAAAAAAAAAAAAAAAAAAATGGAATTTCCGAATAAACAATGGTTTGATAATAAATTATATAAATTAGAAAATTTTTACAGAAAGAATAATTCTGTTCATTATTATTTAAAAAAAAATGATATAGTTACTGCTCTAGCTGAAATTAGAAAAGGAACATCTCCTTTTATGAGGGATGAATGTAATAGAACTGCTTTAGATTTAGCTATATTATTATTTATGAGAAAATTTCATGAATCAATTTTTACATCTTTTATTACTGATTTTATATATAAAAATATTAGTGATAAATCAAGGATGGAGTTTGTATATAATAAAAAAGGAGAAATCATAAATTATGATGAAAAAATGTTTTATTGTTATGATGACATTATGGAACAATTAAAGAAAAATAAGAAATCAAATAGAAATAAAATGAAAAGTTATAATGATGATAATATTATATCATGTCTATTACTACAAAAAAAAATAAAATATTCTCCTTTATTAGTAAAATATCAAGATGATTCAAAATATACTTCAGAATTAGAATATAAAAAAAAAGATTTGCTATTTTTATTTGAGGAAGTGTTAACTACCCCAATGTCTAAAAATATTCAAGTACAGCTAGATGAACTATTAAGAAAGATGAACGCTCTCCTATTTTTTATAAAAACATTAAGTAAAAATATTACTTTAAAAAAATATTCAGAATCTGTTATTAAAGAAGAAATTTCAAATTTATCTTTTCCTTTTTTGTATAATACTACTATTCATACTCTTTTTAGACTATTTCCTTTAAATCATTATAATGAAAAATGGAATATAAAAAATCCTGCTGATTCGAGAAGATTAATTAACAAAATCCTTTCGAAAAATTTAATAGGTAATGAAATAATTAAATTTATTGGAAAGTCATTATTTTATTTTTCTGATCTACTTAAGATATATAACCCAAATGTATTTAAACAAGATCCTATAATTTCTCAATATTTATTACATATGTCTTTTACACTAGATAATGAATACCTTTTTAATCTTATAATTAATAAAAATAACGTTTTTGATAAAATTGATATATTTCATTGGGACGAATTAATAGACTCCATATCACCTTATAAAAAAATGTTTAAACCCTATTATAAACCATTAATATATGCAAGATTAAAAAAAGAGTTTTTAGATATATTAGAAAAAGATTTTTATGAATATAAAAAAAAGGACATAAAAAATCATAAAAAGAATAATACTTCAAAATATATAAAAGATGATTTAAATTCTACATTTCGGATATTGAAAATATATGAGGATATTTTTAATGCTTCTGATTATAATGAACTAGAAAAAGTGTTAAAAAAAAAAATTTTGAAATTGGAAGATAAAAAAAGGAAAAAAAAAGGAGAAAAAACTAAAATATAAAGATTCATTTTTTTTCTAGAAGAAAATAATTATATAATTGTTAGCCTTAAAATAAAAAAATATATTCTATATCAATGGATTAAGAAAAGTAATATAACTGAAAACATATAGAACTAAAAATATTTTAACAGAATATTGTATTAGTTATATTTTTTAAAATGAATAATAATAAATATACAATTTTTAAAGTAAAAATGAAATTAAAAAAAAAAAAAAAAAAAAAAAGATTATTTAAAATTTTTAGACTTTCGAACTAAAAATACTTGATAATTATTATCTACTACAATTTTCTAGGTAAACCTTAATAGGTTCAAAAAAATTTACAAGTGTAGAAAAGTTAGAGCATTTTTTTTTTTTTTTTTAACAAAACAAATGTTTTTTTTGTAGTTTATATCTTAATATTATTTTCAATGTAAAATATGCTTCTGTCTTTAATTATATAAATAAATAAAGAAACCTATATATATACATATATATAAGCAAAAGTTTTTGTTTTTTTCTTTTTATTAAGGTTTTGTAAAGATATATAATAAATAAATTTTATATTTTATTTTCAACTGTTTTTTTTTTTTTTTTTTTTTTTTTCATATTTATATATATATGATATTATTTTTATTTATTTTTTTACATATTTTTATAAACTTCTTTT